CAGTAATTCATTTTGGGTTGCAGCCATATCAATATCCATTTATCCAACAAGCAGCTTGATGGGGGACGAATGTGACCCCTGACTCTTTGTCATTTCTCAGCCTCAAAAGAATCAGGCTTTAGATTTTTAGGCCGTGAACTCTACAAATGCTGTAAATATCTGTTCAGTAGACATGAATGTGGAAGATGAGAAATGCAGCAAATGATTCTTAATGATGCTGCAGAAGTAGTATATGTTTCTGTCCCTCTTCACAGCGTATTTTCCACTTAGCTTTTCCCCCTTATGTACATTTAGGTTAATAAGTTGGTTTTAAATCAAACTGTATGTACGTGTAGTTAAAGTGCAGACTTTCAGCTTTACTTCAAGGGATTTAGCAAGAACCTATGGATATCACTAAACGCTGTGTTTCCTCCTTTGAGATGCTCCGCTAGGGGTGGGTTTTTATAATCGATTCATCGATTAAAATCGATTCTGGCTTGGATAACGTAAAATCGATTCATTAAAATCCTGAATCGATTTTTTTTATATAAATTTATTTTGCCCGAAATGCCAGAATCTCTGGTGACATCTCACAAAATTTCAAGAACCACCAAACAGTTAAGACAGTAAATGAGAGCAGGTACACGGATTCTGCACATAGACTTAAACACACAGCGCGACCCGCGGATCAGAATCAGTTAGATGTCGCCTTTCTCACGGTCGGGGCTGAAAGCCGACAGCGCGCTGATTCTTTGAATCGCGCTTTGTGTTCACGCCCTTTGAGCCGATTCTAAAGCTGTTAGTTTGATCTCTCTCCAAACAATATTGACCGAACCAGCAGCAAAAGAAGATCCAAACGCTTCACATAAACATGTCATGAATTCACTCTGACTTTTACTGTTTTGCTTCCACCGCAATGCACAGCTCTCTCTCTCTCTCTCTCTCTCTCTCTCTCTCTCTCTCTCTCTCTCTCTCTCTCTCTCTCTCTCTCTCTGTACTTCAAGAACAGTTTCCCTTTCTTCATTATTCGCTTGCTTGTTACGCACCAGTCTACTGTTGTTTACAGCGCTGTCAGCCGCTGTTTTTTCCCTTTTACATTTTCCGAAAAGAAAACCTCATTTCTGCTGTTCAATACTGAACAAATTTAAACTTTTTAAAATTATTCAAAATGCAAAACGCTTAACCATGTCTCTAATAAAACCGCTGTAACTTCAGAGGTAATGTTCATATGTTGATTAATGGTTTTCTTTCGTTTTTGATGTACTGCAGAATATTTTTATAAAATCCCAGGCCAGGAAAATCACCTTCATGTTTTTCTGTGCTTTATCTTCAGCTACTTTGACACAAAGGCATCTGCTGTGACGCTCACACCTGTGATAAAGTCTTGCGTGTGTCAGCTTCCTTTTTATAGATACAAAAATATGTAAATGTACTGATCTGAATTATAATATTTCTGACTGTCAAAATTTCCCAGATTTAAATCGAATCGAATCGAATTAAATCGAATTAAATCGAATCGTGGATCGTATCGATTCGGGACCTTGTGAATCGGAATTGAATCAATTCTAGAAATCAGTGACGATACCCAGCCCTATGCTCCGCCACTGCCAAGCCTTTACTGCAGCTACCTTCAAATACTGCTTGTACAGGTTCAGTGGGTTCAGTTCAGGCACTGATCATTGAAGGCTACTGCATGTCTTTGCCTTAAGAAACTCTTGTGTTGCTTTTGGAGCATGTTTTTGGCCATTATCTATTAGATGTTTTCTGGCATAGTTTAATGCATTTCTGTTACTGACTATAACGAGTTGTTATCTGTTAACATTCATAAAGGCATCTTTTGAGCCAACTTTAAAGACTTTGAGAGTCTTTGAAAACATCCTTGACTTGGTTAGAGGTTGTGAAGGATTTTTCTTAACCAAGGAAAGAATTCTGCAATCAACCACTGTATTTGCCATCTGTGGACTTCCAAGCCTGTTGATGTTGTTGAACTGGCTGGTGCATTCCTTTTGAAAATGGTTGCAGTTCCTATACAGTTAATCGAATACTTTTATTAAAACCGTTGAAGTAAAGCTGAAAGACGCTTTAATCACATTTTGATTGAAGTGTTGCAAAAGTACCAGCAACATACTTTAATTAAAAACATTTTACTCTATAATTCACTCTAATTTTTAAAGAATGTGTTAACATTTTATAAGGTTTCTATTAAGTTACCTAACAGAGCCACCCTCTGTTATTTGCTTTCAAAAAGTATCCTTCAAATTTAATATACATCTGCTTTAAGGTAGTTTTATTAAGTCCTGGGCACAACCTAATTAATAACACATACATTGCTGCTGTGAGGAATAGTGTTTGCTCTGTTTTCTCTGTTAGCTACCTCGTCATACAACAAAGCCTCCAGTATATTTGTTACAGTACATTTTCACAGCTGTGAATTTTTATGCTGATAACTCTATGAGAATTAGCTGTGTCCCTGCCTCAGAACAATATTAGGTAGCCATAGGTTAATGGTTTATTTGGCCCAGTTTAAAATTCTCAAGAGGGAAATGTTAGCCCTGGGCCAAAAACTCAATTAACCAAAGGTTGGAAGGCTCTAAATTGCAGTTAGCCCTAGGCTAAGTGTCAAGTGAAGACAACACAACCCCTTGTATGTGTGTATGCTTGCCTCTGTGTGTGAATACATAAACGGTTAAAAGGTGTGACACATCTCCTCTCTGTCTGCACACTCACATGCACCCTGTCTGGAGCTAGTGGTTAATGCTGAAGTTCCATATGTGGTTAGTCATAAACGCTTGTTAAGCTTCACGTGACACCGTCTCAGGTGCGTGGCACCCATGTATCCCACTGCCGGCTTTCATGCTGGCAGCATCTCTGATTCTCACAATCTCAGCTGTCACCACTGCTAACTGTTACCACGGCAAAACTGTCGCTATGGGTTACCAATAGCCGTGTCCACCGCAGAAGAGCGTGAGACAAAGACAAATCAATCAGCGCTTCTAATCTTCTTTACATGAGGAGCAGGCACAGAGGTATTGCCAAGCCTTGTATGTAGCTCAGAGGCAATACAAAGTGGAATAACAGATTAAGTGTGACATAAACACAAACAGGGAGAGGTGCACGAATTAGCATGGGGAAGGAAAAGGGGAACAGGAGGAGGGGAAGAAGAGCAGAGGTGGGGTCTAGAGGGCGTAAGAGGGGCAGCAAATCAGGTTGAGGAAATTGTATGGCCAATCTAGCAAGGTTATTTTGCCATTCACTGCCTTCCTTAATCCATTTTAATTGAATAGATAAGCAAAGTCATTTTGCTCGATAAACTCCTGCTGTGTCATGAAACACCCACATCCTCTTTGCCCTCCATTTCTCATGCTTTCTCTTTCTTGTGTCACCCTCACTCTCGCTTTCTCTCTTCTTATGTGCATCTTTATTATCATTGGTTATTGCTTGCGCTTGTGTGCACACCTATTTTTGACTTAATCATGCTAAAAGTATGAGTGCGAGTGTGCGAGAGCCAAAAAATGAAACAAAAAAAAGCCTTGGAAATCCATTCATGTCTTATTGCTCGTCTGCGTAGTAAAATCCATCCATCTGGTGCTTCACAATGAAGCAGGCATTACTAATGAAGTATTTTCTATATTTAATGTCCCATGTTTAGAGGAGAACGTGCTGAAAAATATTAAAGGGTTTCAAAAAGTCTGGATATGCATCTAACTGTGAAAAACTGGAGTTATCTGGTTGAGTAAGTCTGTCAGTTGCAGTGCTCAAGAGATTAAATAAAAGTGGAAGCATGAGGGACACACTCTCTCTCTCTCTCTCGTTTTCTCTCTCTCTGTCTCACACACTAGTTGCTCCATCCTTGTTTCGACTAGTCTCCTGGAGATCTCAGCAGCCTGTTTCTAGTGATTAGCGCAACACCCCTGTCGACTGGACCAAACACAGGCTGATTTAAGCTCTTTGGCCCCCTAAGGCTGATGAAGATCCCTGCAGTGGAGAAGTGATGTGGGAGGTTTAAAAACCACCAGCATAGGGAGAGAGCAATATGTGTCGCGCCATGGGGGGAAGGCATTATGTGTAACGCCAGAGTGCCCTCATTGTGATCCCTACTGGGCTAACAGTCCTGACTGCCTCGCCCTCTCACAGAATCGAGATATAATCATAAATCTAAACTGATTGACTTTGTTTATTTCTCAAACTGTGGCTAAGCATGTTTCTCTTTATGTGTATTTACAAGGCAAAAATAGTAGCAGACACAAGGCAAGCAGTGTAGCTGGGTACAGATTTGCTGTGCAGTTAGGTGAGTCGTCATGTACAGTTTACAGAAGTGTTCAATTAATTTAATTTTTCCCTGCTATGCCTGCCTTTTGGTGGCTGAAATACACATTTAAAATAAATCAAGGTAACAGATGCATGGTTTTGGAATGTGTGTGTTACACGCCTTCTTAAAAAGGATAAACAACCACTAGTCACTGAATCTGTGGAGGCTGCCATGATTGCCTTTCATCTTTTAGTCATTAAGATAAAAATTTAACGTTAGTTTTCCAATTCATAAGTGAACTGTTCATGCATATCAATTATCATATGCAAAAAAAAATGTGATAAAAGGAAACAAAAACCTAAGAAGGGAGGGCAACCACACAGAAAAAGTGCCGGGTAACGTGCAGATTCTATAACATACAGGCACACACAAGCAAGCTTATTCTTCCCTAATCAGTGTAATTAAGTGTCATTTTTTGTTAAAGCCCCGTCATTAGTATATTTAATTAGCCCACATTGTGCTGTTAATCTGATTGGCAGGACTGACAGACACTGGAGGCTGTATACACACATGCGCACACAAACACACATTATACACACTGTGTACGAAGTAGCTACTTGCATAGATAAATAACCAGCCATCAGGAGTACAAGATATTAAAATTTCAGCATTGAAAAAAATATTCTCTACAATACTTCTTGCTGCTGATTTTTATTAATATATATTATTCATTTACGACAGATTTGATTGATTCGATTTCTTTGATACTCAGATCCGCAGACAGGGAGGCATCCAGCTGCTCGTTGATCTACTGGACCACAGGATGAGTGAGGTCCATCGCAGCGCCTGCGGAGCCTTGAGAAACCTGGTGTATGGCAAGGCCAATGATGAGAACAAAGTAACCCTGAAGAACTGCGGGGGGATTCCTGCCTTGGTCCGCCTGCTGAGGAAGACCGGAGATGTGGAAATCAGAGAGCTAGTCACAGGTACGCTGTCTGTGACAATTTTTTACTTCAGCTCCTAGCATGTACAGTATATCAGTTATTTTCCAGCATGGCTCTGTTTATGGCCTCGGGAGAGATTTTAATGGAATATGTTTGTTGTGTGTGTGTGCAATTCCCATGTTTATGTGAATGTGTGGATAGAATTTGATATGTGAGGATGCAAGGATCTTTCAAGCTGCTCTACATACCACACACCTACACTAAAGCTGCTTTAGGAAAGAATCTTTCAGCCAGCAAAAGGAAAAAAATTAAACTTTCTTTCTGTCTTTTCTTGGTATTGATATTGTATGTGTCTTTCATTCGTTCGTCTAATTGTGGTTTTACTTCTTATTTAGTGACTTAAGTGGTCTCGGTTGGCCATGACAGCGCCTGCAACCGTTTTGGCTTAGTGAATGTAGTTCTTCATACAGTCAAGTTTTAGTGAATTAGTGTTTGTCAGAAAACTTTACTATTCACCAAACCAAGGCTGTTCATCTTCTTTACTTGCACAACTATTTCACATTCCACTTGAATGATAACATTCAGTCACAGTTGTCCTCAGCAGCCATGACTTGTATGACTCTTGCAAAGAATGCCAACAAAGAATGTTATTTATTCTTAGGAGTGTTTTGTCAAGTGTCCCTTTTGACATATTTTATTAAGACGTGTAAGATGTAATGCAGTGCATGTTTATGGGGGGGGGGGGGGGTTATTATTTTTTGTTTGCATCAATTGTTATTGCATGTCTGCAATGATAAAAAGGTGAATAGGCCCACCTTGCGTTCAAATTCTTGCTTAAAGTGGAATTTAAAGCCCCACACTTGTAGCAGGAATCAATCTTGTTTTAACCTTGAGGGAATGAACACTACAAACTAGCTGGTGTAGTTGAAACACACATTGCAGCAGTGCATACACCCACACGCACAAACTTAATAACGTGCACGCATACAAGCGTTCATGCAAATACAGATTCAAATATGTTTAGGCAAAAAATGTATAGATTAAATTTAAACACCCACATAAGGTGTTAGATAATAACACAGATAATACACATTTGAGCTGATATCATCTTTTTTTCCAATATGCCTCCCACTGAGAATTTAATATTCTACTAGAGGAGTAGCAAATAGTAACACAACACTGCACCCCTCGCTGCTTAAAAGAAAAAGAAACACATAGATGTGTGCTTACACACAGGCAAACATCTAGGATATATGGAATTTCAGTGGTCAGCTAGTTATTTTCCAGTATGACATTGGCAATATTGATGAAACATAGTGTCTGTGAATTATGCTTATGCAGCTATGCCACACAGGGGGTATGGGGTATTGTCATCCTGCCAGCATGGACACCCGAGTTTGTGAATGTGATAACTTGAGCATGAGACGACGTAGGATTTTTAAATCCATACCATAGGTACAGAAATCCCAGTGGCCTTGACCTCAAGGTCAGAGGTCAACTTTTCTAAAAATCACCTAGGATTTTTACATTAATATGATACGTGCGTCTACGAGGAGGCTGAGAGGCAGCACTGGGAGCTGCCAGTATTTTTTTGTAATCCCTCATTCAAATTAAAACCTTTAACTAGGGACATTTTTTGATGCAGTCACATCATCCACAGCACAATTTGATTGAGTTCTCCACTTTCAGAAATAAAATATGCTAATATATAATATGCAGAACTACTGAGATTTACCCGTGTGCTGTTTTTGTCTGCTGAACTCGTGATTTCATGGACAGGCAGAGTTTAAGTGCACTATAGTAAGATTTATACATTATGTTAATACACTAGATTAGATCACTTCATGTGGGAACATATGTATTATAAATACTGTCCTGTAATGCATGATTATATAGGACCATGTCTATTTTTGAATTTTCTCATATTTTTGGTATCAGCTGCACAAAAGGTACATTACATTATCTTGCTGCTCAAACTGTGAATTGTCATAAGTGGGGATCTGAATGTTAGCAGCCTAAAAGATTTCCTATAAGCAGCTCTCACCAGCAACTTGTACATCGATTCCTGTGATAAAACATGAGAGAGCCAATACCTTTCTTTCATCTGTTGTCCTTCACTCGCATCTTTCGTTATCTCGTGTCTGCTCGCTTCGCACTTTTCTTACCCTTTGTCAGTGTGTGCGTTGGATTTTTATGTGATTCCACACTTGTTTCATGTTGAGCTGGACTGTGGGTATCTGCACTTGTCTCACCATTGTTTTTCTACATTTGGCCTCTTTGTTACACCTGGTTAGTCCTGAGATAGCAGAGACATGTGCAAGCTCATACAAGTAGATTTAACAGTTTCAGAGATAAAGCAGACCCATTCACTCAAACACAAAAATACACAAAACCTTCCAAAACCATAAAGCGCATTCACACAGAATACCAAACTAAATTCAGTAGGGCCCCCTCATGCTCAATTTGACCTCTGTCTCCGTTGTTACTTAGCACAACAGAGCTCATCTTTAATCACGCATTCAAAAATCCATCCCACTAGGTCACCTGCTCTATGAGGGGGAAGAGGCCCTGGTGGATCATAAGGCTGACAGCTAGCAAGCAAGTGCACAGTTTTTTTCTGTCCTTTTACAAACCCCTGAGATATCGATAACAGCTCGCTAGAGGAGGGTAGAGAAGGAGGAAGGAAGTCTGGAACCTTTTCACTGTTAATGATATCCTCATAACAGGTTGTGTGGCGGCAGGCAATCTCTGCTGCACTAAAAAACAAGGTTTGTTTATATTCAAGATAAAGAAGTAAGAATGTCATTACAAAAAGGCTTCTTTTTTTGATGATCCCAAGGTATACATGTCTGTGATGATAAACGTGCTGGAGAGACTAAGATACAGAAAACAGCTCGGGGAAGGAATGTCTGTGGTCTGTAAGCAGATTAACCAGTGAATAAAATTCACTGCGAGTCATACCGCATCATGTTTTGAGCTCCGACTTTTATAAATAGTCATCTCACACAGACAGACATGCACTGTGAAATTCTATCTCTGCTTCCCCCGTTTCCTGACTCTTCCTGTCTTTGCCCTTCCCTGTCTGTGATTCAGTGTCATGCATGAGTCTCCCCTGTTGTCTGTTTCCTCTGGTACTTGGCATTAAACTCCACATTTTAAATGCTTTCACGACAGTACAGCCATATTTTGAAGTCTGTCTTAATTTGCCTCGCGTAACACCCTGCTGTTGCTGTAATTCACGTCTAAGAAGTGTTGCATAATTATTCTGTAATTCAGTTAGGTTGATGTTGTTTGTCACAAATACAGAGAAGGACTACAGTTAGTTAATTATGTAAGTGGTGATTTATGCTGTCCTGGCCATTGACACAATCCTACCAGTTTAAGGCAGTTTTAATAAAAGCTGTGTTACAGAGCTTGTGTAGTTAAACGTTTTCAGCCTCAATTTTGTAAAATAAAAATGTAAAAATGAAGTATGTCTGTAGCGCAAAGAACAAAAATGAAGGGCTAAAGGCAGGTGACCCTTTTTGAGAGAACGTGTCAAAAAATGGTGAACTGGGAGGATTAATGCTGAGACTCTTGTAATATCTGGACCATATTCACTGACTTATAATCCAGGTGCTGTTGGACAGAACTAATGTTGTTGGACTGTATTTGGGTTGAGCGGCTATCAGATGAAATTGTGTGACTCTATAGCAACTCTTTCGGTAGATCAGTGCTGAAAAATCTAATGAAAAAAAAAATGAAAAAGCTAATGATGCTAATGCTCTGTAACTACATGTTAGTGTCTCTGCTCTCGGATGCTTTGCTGTGTCAAATTTTATTCTACTCAAAGTCTAACCTTTAATTCTACTTGACGGCCGAATAATTTGAAAGTAAACAATGACTGTCACTAGGAGAGATTGATCTAGGATTGTGTCACCCTATGCTACCCGTAGACATGGCTGTCAAAAGCCAAACTCAAAAAAATGCCAGTATTGTACCAATTCTGCTTTCTTATTACGCCTATGTTGATCCATCCCTCTAATTTGTAATTACAGAATCTCTTCAGAATCAGGCATAAATTTTTGTTTTTTTGTTACTTTTGGTGATTGGAAAACCTTCCCTTTAACTATTTACCCTATCTCTCTGTTGGTTCTGAAGTTTAAATTTAGACAAGCTTTATTGGCTTCCTAGGTCTGAGCGTGAGGTAGATAGGATGAAGTCAAGGCTTCTGGGCCTGTCAGTCAAAGTCTGGTCGATGCAGAGGCTTCGGATGTCAATAGGAGATGCTATCCTTACTCATGGGCTCACCTTGAATGCAGTGGACCATGACTACAGTTTCTGTTGCTGCCTCCTCTGAAATGGCTGAGGGGAGAAGCAACTGCTGAAGACAGCTGTATCCAAAAAGTTTCCATTTGGACAAATCTTCTCAGATTATTATAATTAGTACTTCTCAGTACTTCCATTAGTCACCATCTAATCCGCTTCCTCTCTATGAAAAACTGCACATGGTTGCTTCTCTCAGCTATGACGCATATCACAATGCACGTTTCTGTGAATTGCATTGAACATGAAAACAATATGCTTACATATATTCCGCTACATACGCAAGCGCTCATTTCCAGAAGTCAGTTTGGTAATGAGAATAAAAGCTATGAGAAATGCAGCAGAGAATAACTGCATGTGTACAGAAGTGACTGACTGACTTTTCCACTGTTGCAAGGTTATGTTAAAAACAGCCCAACAATGTTGAATTATACTGCTGTACTCACAAATACAGTTCATCATTTCCTGTTACTTGAAGGCATAAAATATTTTCTATTGTCAACGTCTAAATCCCCAAGCTCCAAATGCTGCTGTTATTCAAGAAATTTCAATGCAGCCTTTTCACTGTGAAATTCTCTGGTGGTAATGAAATCTCCAGTATTGGCAGCGGCAGTTTACCCACAATACATGATTTTACCTTGTGCTGCCAAAGGTCTTCAGCAAACCTACCGCTGAAATGAAGGTTCGATGACTCTGGGGTTAAGTCAGCAATTGCTAGCTTGCTGTCTGAAAACGTTACCCCAAATCACTATTTTATTTTATTTATTTATTTACCGTTTTTCTCATTCACAGATTTTTATAGACACAACAGCCATGCAATTTGTCATCTCTGGCATTGCTCATCACCAGGTTGTGACCCAGCAGCTAACTAATTCGCAGTGAGCTGCACAAATGAAGGCTGTTTAATAAAACATCACCACTTGAGGCCTAACAGGTCTCATTCTTCCCTTACAAGTCACATTCTCATTTATTCATGAATTCATGCAATCATCTCCTCTCTCCCCCAAACCACCAGGCTCCTAGGAAACTGTCTGTCAAATGTCTAAAGGGAACTAGTCAGAGAGGGATGGGGTATAAGGACAAGGAAAGAGAAAAGAAAAAAAGCGCAGACACATGCACTCACAGGCACACAAGCTTGAAGTATGATGTCACTGTCTGTTGGTCACTTGATGTTATACCCATAAGGACATTGAGTTTAGTGAAGCATTACATATCTATGTTTCTAGAGCAGACAAGTCTGTGTAAGTGTGGTTGCTGGTGTGTCGATGTGTGTGTGTCAGCCTTAAATTTGCAGAATATTGGACAGTGGCCGGTACAATGTCCTTGCCCCAGAAAAAAACTGATCAGTGCATCCTTTTACGTGTCTCCTTTTAATCAGTGTTTTTGTCCATTCGCGCCTGCACAAAAATCAACGTGTCGCTTCCTGAGCATGTATTGTGTCTCAATGTGTGTTTGTTTAGATGTATTGGCCCGAGCAGATAAAGAAAGGCTTGCTGAGTGCTGCTTCTTGTCAGCTCATCAAAGACAACACTGTTTTAACCTGATTGCAATCATACACTGAAAACACTTACCACATGAGAAACAGACCGACGCGGGAAAAAGAAGCAGAGAGAAATACAGAGGATGTTTGACAGCATTCAGCTTTATAAGTCAAGTGTTTTGCTGAATGTGTGTCTTCACTCTGAGGTGGCAACAGAGTGTGTGCATGCTTGCATATGTTTGAGCTTATTGCCTTATTTTATTTTTTATTTTTTTTTACTTTGATTTGAGAAGAGCCTGTGTGAATAGCAGGATTAAGTGGAAAGACAGAAAGTTGAGATGTGAAACAAGAGGCTGATTAGTGAAAGTGAAGGCAAATGTTACCACACTCACACTCACATGCCTTAGTACAAGCTCTTGATTGCTGCCAAGCAGCATACAAGGTCATTGTGTTATTATCACCCTCCTTCTCTTGTCCTCTCAAGCTTGCTTCCTCTCATTCTCTCTTGCCCTCTCTCACACACACAAACTCTTCTCTGAAATTCCCAATTACATCTCCCCGTCTCTACTTTTAGCTTTCTTCTTGTATAAACTTATATATAGTCTTATGCATATTCCATCTAATCATTTGCTTTCTGCAGTGGTCTATTAAGTCTAAATTATTAAATATTAATTATTTGGGTTTAACAGCTGTGCATTTGTAATTAAGAATTAACCCACTGGCTAAGTAACACTGGCATTTGCTTTCTCACTGCCCTTCCTTGTCTATTCACTGGCCTCATTTTCTTCCAATCCCTTTCCCTGAGATTGACATTATGACCGTATGTAGTAGAGTATAGTGTAAGGCTTCAAGACTGGCATTGCTTTGGGGAATGCAAAGCTGGCTGCTACTTAACATCCATTGCCTCCACAAATGTTTCAGTCAAGTGAGGCTTTATTCATATTAGTCCACAGATGACAGTTTATTTTTCTAGCCCTTTATTATCTTTATTTTCAGTACCTTTATATTTATTTTTTAAAGTGCATTTTCATGCTTGAAAGAAGTCAAACAAATTTTGTATACTTTGGGATTTTATTGTGTATATTTATTTTAAATATGCTTTATTAATTAATTGTTTGCTCCCCAACACATAATAAGTGAGGGCCAGGTTTAACTACAGAGATTTTCCACATTTGCTAGCATTTAAGAAAACAGATGCAGTCTTTATCTTTGGATTTTGCACTCAGAATTACTGAATGAACAGGACACCTTTAAGCTCACTGACAGTTTCTATGAACTGTGGGGCGCAGCATATTGTGAGTTGTGCCCATATTTTAATTGTTTGCTAACTGTGCAAATGAACGACATCTGTCATTGGGACATGCAACATCTGGAGTCTGACACGAAATACACGAGAGATGATGACCTATAGCACCACAGCTTTTTATAGTTTCTTGTAGCTTTAAAGGAGGTTGTCTCCTCTTGTTGCAATCTGTTCCAATTTCTCGACAGTCTCTCAGCTCCTTAATCCACCAGTGCTACTGATATATCTATATTTTCTTATTTTATTTATCCCTGTCACTCTGGTTCCTATATTTTTACCTTATTGTTTTTTGCTATGTAAGAAAGTTCAATGAAAGCCACAGAAACTAACTAACATATCTAGAATGTGACAGTGCTAATGTAGCCTGTGTGTGTATGAGCACACGTGTGTGTTTGATACGTATGAGTGTGTCACAGCTGACCAACAGGGCTACTGCTGTCACCGGTCTGTGAAAAGGCATCTGGTATCCCATCTGACAGGAAGCAAAAAAAAAAAAGTGTATTTGTGTGTATGTGTGTTTGTGTGTGTTGTATATCCATGTGTCTTTGTAGGCGATTTAGTATATCATGGATACATAAAAACATAAAAACTTGTTTTTCAGCCAGGTTATTTATATGACCATGCAGCTGTGTTTGCTGGCTTTATGTTTATGCATTGCTGTAAAATTAATTTGGCAATAAGTTTGTGTGCGTTTTGTACGACACAGCATGTGATAAATAATGCCAGTTGGAGCTTTCTCACAGTTAAGAGTCAGATTCAAAAATAAAAGTGTGGGTGGCTTACTCAAAAGTGATAAATATAGGGAGGTGCTATTGTTAGCATTTCCAGTCCTGAAATAAGTCCTCGCATGCTCTGAAAAGGTGTGTCTGAGATCAGTGTCATTCTGCTCAAGGTTAAAAAACAGTTTTAGGCTGTTTTTATTTCTTAAAGTAATTTGCTGCCCTGACTCCCAAAATGTAGCCAAATGTATTTCACATGTACATTTCTGAACAGTGAATGGAACCAAGCACATTTTTATTAGGTTTTGGAGAAAGTTGTAGCACAGCAGTTAATGAGGTATGTAAGATCAAATAATTGTTAATCGTTTTTGTTTTGTTTTTTTTTTACAAAAGAGCTTAAAACTTCATGTGATGAAAATGAAACGGTTGGATAAATATTTTTAGCTCTAAAGATGTATTTGATTTATGAAAGTATGAGGTTTTATTTACAAAGTTTGTAAATGTAATTTAGTCGATAAAACTTTGCAGAAAACTAAATCAACAATCAGCGTTCTTGGTGGTTTATATATTAGTGTCGTACTATTATCTAGTCAGTGTAAGTCTACATTGGCAATGACAGTTTCTACAATCCTTCATTATGATGATGATGATGGTGATGATGATGAAGATGATAAACAAACAGCATCTTTGACAGTAGGCTGCTTAGATCATACCAATGTAAAAGATTATACAAAATAAATTTTGGTGCAATGTGTGTACCACACATGAAATATGGATAATGGTGGAAGATTTAGGTCAGGACATTATCCAAAGCTTGCAATCACATGTAGCACACAGCAGGAGGTAGTCTGCTTAAGATTCATTCTTGCTACAAGAAGGGTTCTGCTTGGTTTAGGCAACGGTGCTGCCTGTGTGGTGCATGCACTTGCTGGCTGTGAATTCACTGAACTATTACCAACACTGTTTTCACTTAGTGGCAGATTGGCTCAATCAGACATCACACAGACATTGTACTGGGGAGTTTAGTAGGTTAAAGACTAGTTTATGTCTGATTCATCTGCATTTAACATTTGTGTTTCTAACACGCACCTCTAATGTCTAAAGTTCAGAGAACAGTTCCCCTTTAACTGGACTAAAACCTAAGACTTAAGGAGACTCGCGGTAGGCACCCTCATGCCTCAGCCAATTAGAATGAGAGGAAAATGGAGAATGAAAAGAGAAGCACTGAGAAAGAACAAATGTAAATGCTGAGAATATTGGTGAGCCAGTAACTGACCCAATCAGTTACATACAGAAACATGCAGACAGAAACTAAGGATATAATAGTTATAGTAGCTACTTTGAAAAAGTTAATTACAGAACTGTCTAAACATAAATAGGATAATGTTTCTTATTTTCTGAACACATTCATATGCAGGTGTGCTTTGGAACCTGTCATCATGTGATGCACTGAAGATGCCAATCATCCAGGATGCCTTGGCCGTTCTGACCAATAGTGTCATCATACCCCACTCTAACTGGGACTCCTCCCCAAATCACCATGATGACCGCAAGCTCCACATCCATACATCCCAGGTGCTGCGCAATGCTACAGGCTGTCTCAGGTAAGCAACAGGCACTTAAAATCTTGTCTCAGGTGTTGTTTTCTTTTTCTTTTATATATCACATTATCATTTTATTCAGTTCTGTTCGGTTTTGTTTGTATTGCACCAGTTCACAACAGTCACCTCAAGGTGTGTGTGTTTATACATCTACTGACAAATGTCAAATAAATGGAAAATATTTTTGCAGAAAAATCAAAGTTTCTTAATCTTCACCACTGTGCGATTATAGGCACAACTTCAAACAGTATATGCATATTTTGTTCTTTTTTGTTGCTCCCTTTCACGTTCATTCACTGAAGCACATTTGCACCAATTTGTGTTGGTCACCATAGAAACAACTCCTCCACTTGCTGGGATCCTTTGTGTGTTGACTTTCGTTTTGGTGCATTGTGCCTCTAAATTGTTTCTTTGTACAGTTTGAAATCACGGAGGACAACTTACAGCTTTCATGATTACTGTGTTTATGTGCATCTCAGTATGAGAAAATAGGTTTCTATTATATTTCAGTGTGTACTCGTTAACGCCCATCCTCGTGTTAGTAAAGCCTACACTTTATGCTCTACTTTGTGCTCTACTTGTGTCAGAACAAGTTACTGTAGTCTTAATTTAATATGGTGAGTTAAGCATTAAGTTAACTCGCATGAAATTTGCTCCTTGCTGATCTATTTGATCTAAACATCTGTTAAGAGCCTGGCATTCAGACATGATAGTGAATATTTTTTGATCACATAATTCTTTTCTTAGATCTGCTAACCTGGCATGAAAGAGTAAAAAGTCAGGCTGATGATGAAAAAGAGCTGCAGGTAATCGTAGTAAGTAGTACAGTAAAACACTGTAAAATGCTGTAGAAGATTTGTTATTTTGGACCACATATGTATTCATATTGAATACGTGTTAAAGAAAAAAGTCAATACTGGTCTGATCTTTAAAATTAGTCATGAGACTGAAATTTTGATGTGTAACTATTTGATCACTTGCGTGCTGCTAGCACAGAAAGTTTGTCATTTGTTTCTGATCATATTTGTTGATCTGTGTACATACTCTCACACCAACCCCACAGAGGCCTGAGATGTTTGAAAAAAAAAGTCTCCACTTGGCCAGCTCTCTTTGAGCTATGTGGGCGATCGTTGCTCAAGAGTTGGGAGTTCGAGTTCGGAAGGTTGCCGGTTCGAGCCCCGGCTCGGACAGTCTCGGTCGTTGTGTCCTTGGGCAAGACACTTCACCTACCGCCTACTGGTGTTGGCCAGAAGGGCCGATGGCGCGATATGGCAGCCTCGCTTCTGTCAGTCTGCCCCAGGGCAGCTGTGGCTACAATGTAGCTTGCCTCCACCAGTGTGTGGAATGGTGTGGATGACTGGGTGTGTAAAGCGCTTTGGGGTCCCTAGGGGGGACTAGTAAAAGCGCTATACAAATACAGGCCATTTACCATTTATGTGCTCAATGAACCACCAGTGGATTAAACCCTCACCCCACCAGTTTTGAAGATTCTTGAGCTATTTCAAATGGTTATCTTCCACTATTGCAGCTATTGGATGTATTTAAAAATGCATTAGGTAACCAAGCTAGAAAAGATCCTCCAACCACCTCATTGCCACAGCTTTACACACCAACCTCAATAAAGGAAGTGTGGAACCATTCACACTCAAGGTCCCCTCCTCCTTTGGAATGGACTGGAATGGCTTTTCTAGTCTCACTTACCAGTTTAGACTCTCAACACTTCAAGCCACTTTTTTTCCCCGTATAGTCATACAGTTAAATACTTTACCTTCTATACATTCACACCTATTGCCAATTTAGAATCACCGTTTAACCTAACATGCAAGTATCTGGACTGTGGAAGAAAGCTGTGGTACCTAGTTGTACCTCATGCAGGCACAGGGCCCAGAGACCACAAGAAAAAAGGACTTTCTTGCTGTGAGGTGACAGGGTTGTCGATTGCTGTTGAAGTTCTGACTGAGGTACAAATTGATGATCTCCCACAAGAAGTGGGGGCCAGACACTTCCAGTACAGCCTCACTAAATGTATAGGTATGCCAGGCCTGATCATTTATGGTCGTCATTTGATAACTCGGCTCGTGTCTATGACATATGTACATGATTGCAAAATGATGTAGGGTGGCCTAGCCAAGTGCACTTACAAACAACCTCATCTATATTCATGGTATTCCGTATGGACAAAGTGTGAATTGCACAAATGTCCAGTAACAGAAATCCTCAGTGTGTTCTGTTAACACACCCTCCAACTTTCTGTACCATTGCTCCATTTCCTCGCTGGGGACAGTGGAGCAACTCCAGACTGGAAAAGAGCCAGGCTGCTCTCCGGAATACAAATTATCCATTGAGTTGACCCCAGCTTTATCTAACCCTTATCTCTCAACCTCAAGCACTAGCTCGGCCCACTTTCACCACCAGAGAGATGATGTTGCATGGCTAAATGTTATTAATATTAATGTTAACTAGTATGCATATCCACCTTTTTTATCCACCGATTAGGTTCTTACAGCTGCAGTACAAAAAACAAATATATAATATATTTAATAGGAAACCTAAATAATATGGGTGTGTATAGCTGTACTTGTATGGGTAAAGACTATATGGTACCTAAGTGTGATCATGAAGTTATTCTTCTGTGTAATATTTGTCAATTTTGGTATCATTTGCAGTTATACAGTGCACTACAGACTAGTTTTATATCCTAAATGGGCTATGTATCCTGGGAGCAATACTTAAATTAGACGTATTAATTGACTTTTTTAAATGCTTCTTTTAAGGCCAAATGAGCTGAGGAGTTTTCATTTCATGCTAAGCACGCTATTCACCTACGGTTGACTATTTAGGAATGTTTGAGTAAAAACAGTGGTGAATCTAAAACATGAGCTCATCCAAAACACAGACAAACACATTTTCATCTTCAACATCTTTCTATGTTTGTTCCTATAGTTAATTGTAGGAACTTGGTTCTACAGAGAAATATGTTTGTGTGGGTTTTTGGATTTGTCCAACACAAGACTCAGATCCTTTCTGGTTCTTGGTTTGTTCTTTTAGCTGTTTGTTTGCCACAATAGAGATAGATTTCCTTAAAACTTTGATGACATGACGTAGATTTTCAGCAATTTTTCCTCACTAACTCACTAAACCATTTATAGAACTTGAGGGCATGTGTGTGTAGGTACCTAAAGATGCGGGGGAAGAAGACAAATGATGCTGTCACTGTGCTGTTCCACATTGTAAAGTTACAGATCAAATTGTAAAAGGTGCTAAAGGAGAGGGAGTACGAGAGGGCAGAAAAGGAAAAAGTTGGAAAAATTTGAACTGAGAGAATTTAGACATGGAGAACAATAAGAGAGAGACACTAACACATAGCAGTGAAGGTGTTTCTGCTTCTCTCCAGGGCAGCTTTCTATCTCACCATCTTTTCAGAGGGTTAAAGTGACATAAGACCACAGTGTTCAGGTCCCAGTGTACCTGCAGCTCAATTTCAGACCTCTCACCCCTCTTATTATCTCCTTGATGTGTGTGTTTGTGTGGCTGTGTAGGCGCATGAGAGACCATATTTCTATGTGTACTTATTGGTGTTGCATGTACAGTATATGCTCAAGTGTGTATGTGTATGTAAATGCTAATTTGTTTCCACTATAAAGAAAAAAAACACACACACAGCTGTATTTCTGGTGTGCATGAATGTGTGCATTTCTGCATATTTGTTTTTGGCTCCATGCATGACGCCGCGTGTGCAATCAGACTAGCTGAGAGGATTCTTGGTCGCCTACACCAGAATTTTGCACACTATTTTAAATCTCTTTTTGCAATTATTATTTTTGGCAATCAGTGTGTGAAAAAGTATGCTTGTTTTAATCAATCAGACTGTCCACTATGGCAAATCCTTCACAGCCCAGCACTGTTTTCCATCTTGTTACGGTGTTATCAAGCCAGACACAAGGTCTTCTCCTCCGTTCAGAGGCTGTTTAACTCCCTTCAGGTTGCTGGTTTGTAGCCAAGCAAGAAAAGAAAACAACTACCTGGTGCCTTACACACACCCTTTGTATGCGTTTGCATGTTTTTGTTCTATTCATGAATGCTTTCAGCTCGTTTCCATTCAGACACCCACAGATGTGCGTAGAGGAAAGGACTGATTTTTGGTTGATCGAGAATTAAATGCGTGGTCACGAAAGAGTTTGTTTCCATATTTATTTCATGGGTATTAATAGGTTTGTTTGCATGTGTTCCATCTGGTGATGAACCCTCTGCTGCCTGTGCCCTCAATGACACACATACACACATGGCCAGACATTTATGCAGAGCCACCACACACCAGCTGTTTGAGACAAAGTCACTCAGTAGTCATTTGTTCCTTGAGCAACATTAGAAGACCATCTGTCTTCGGATTCACTCGTGTCCATGTAAATCCCATGAATGTTGCACCAATTTTATAACAACTAGAAAAAGAAAAGAAAAGGGATTTGTGTTAAGATCAGTGACTATCAGATTGTTTGCCGAGCTACGCTGTTGCACCCTGGAGTAGAAAATCAATGTCAAATTAAAAATGTATAAGTGTCCTTGTGTTTTTAAAACAGTGCAATTGGTGGAAAACATGTCCAACTGGCAATATTTTAATAGTTGTCAAACCAGCGTCTGCAGACAGCAGGAAGCTTGTTAGTGAAATTTTTCTCACGTACACATGGATGCTACTTTTTTCAGAAAATAATAATGAATTGTTTAGCGTTGTATATAAGCTAATCAACACTTTTAATGGTGGCTATATGCATACGCTGACAAACTAGAGCAATATTATATTCAAATCCTGTATTTTAATTTTGTAGAAAATCGACTGCCTAGTGCTTTAAAGATAAAGCTGTGTGACAGGGTGTTAAAAAACTGCATGACGACAGTGTGCATAAGTTAACTGTAAGTTGTTTTACCCAGTTGGCTGTGGAAATATGTGTTGTATTTTTATGCCTTTATTAGACACCAACAGCAGAAACCAGGAACTTAACAGTTTA